ATATGTTCTCTCTAGGAATATCTGGGTCCTCCAGCACAACTCTATGGTGAACTTTAACCAAAGGTTGCACTGAAGGACCTAGATATTCCTAGAGAGAACACTCCACTAGGCATTTGTAGTCCTCTGGCACAAATCTATGGTCAATGTCTGGCAAACATTGCACTAGAGGACCTACATATTCCTAGAGATCTGTTCTTCAGGTAAAACCATAGTGTTTTTGTTATTTGTGGTTTTTCCACATTCATAGGAGTCCTGTGTCCCTAACCCCAGCAATTGTGAAGGGACACATGTAATGTGAAATTCTCATTAGTTGCTGAGATTTTGTGATTTTAAATTTCATCAACCTAAAATGCTATGTCGACAGAAATATGTCTCAATTGAAGAAAACAAAAATAATAGAGAAATGATGGCTGCCCCCCCCCCACACACACACACACACTCCTATCTCGTTTCTTGGCCCTGGTATGTAATGTATTTCATTTTGGCATGTCAAGCCGTTTCCCAAGACCTTTTAGAAATTTGATTTAGCATGCCCTGAACTCTGCATGGAATATTTTGGATTTTATTTTTTGTTGAAATTGCAGTGCTTTAGTGTATTATTTCTAATTCATGTGAATTACCTCAATCTCAGAACTGCATTAACTTTCACTTTACCATTCACAGTGTGGCAACATGCCAGTTCTCACATCTTAGAAGAGAAGAAAAGATTAGGTTGGGGATGGGGAAGCAGGTGGGAAGCATGACGGTGGAACCAGGTCTTACTGCCCCTTATGTGATGAGAATGGACTTCTGCAGTGGGGATATCTTTGTGCCAATGACAGCTCATTGTGTGATCTTGAACCCTTGAAAACCAGAGTTGGAAAATCAGCAAAAGGTATTCTACTGAAGTATACCATCATTGCTTGAGGGACTGGGAAGACTTGTGTGAAATTTGGGGTGGGATTAATTGGGAGAAAGCAACATCAGGCCTTACAGATGTTCCTAGGCCTCAGCTCCCCCCAGGCCTGCCAAGCATAGTCAATAGTAAATAATCAGAGGAGATGCTGTTCAAAACCATCAGGATGGCCAAAAGTTGCCTACCCCAAGCTAATGGCAAGGCCTTGGTGTATTCATGGCTTATTCTACACTGGAGGCCATCCTGGGACTATCCAGGTTTTTTTTTTTAAAAAAAAAATGTTTTTGCTCCTCTCTAGGCATGTAAACTTGTTTTCCTATTTATTAATACTACAATTGAGAGTTGTACAGTTCCTCATCCCAGGGTCTTTTCCTTCCCATCCCAGCTGAGTACGTTATCTACACATATGTGCAACATCACATTTGTCTTGTCACCTGTGATTGTACCTGATCTGTTGATTTGTTAATGTCCTCTTAGCATTTTCATGCTGCTATACCGGTTGTCCCCATCATTTCAGATACTCCCATTTTGTCCACAACAAAAGTAGAAATTAGTGTATCATAGCCTTGCAAAGCATATATATGAGGCTCAACCACTGAAGCTGTCAACAGTATAAATGTTGTGTTTAAGAAAGCCTGGACTTCTCCCAAATACAGAGAGTAATAGCCTTCCTCATAGATTTACCTTTAGAACAGCTTTTTCCAAAGTCTACTTGGGCCACTTGGTAATCATTTCCAGAATATCCTCCTTATATTTATGTAATCATAGCTCAGCTGGTGCACTTGCCACTTGCCCCTCAATAGGCAGGAGCTTCTCAATTTTATTCTTCCTCCAGGCTACACTCTCTCAGCCTCATCTAAAAGCAGTATTTGCCATCATTTCCCTATTTTCTAAATGTAATGACACAATGTAAATGTGAAGCCCCTTAAGTATGGCAGCAACAGGCTGGGAACTATGTGAATGTGTGAATATGAAGGGGTAAATGGTGTAGAAAGGAAAAAAATGGTGCTCACACTCACACATATACACACACAATTTCACTTCTACCCAGGGGATGAAATTCACATACACACAGAGAGAGTAAATAAAAATCAAAGTTATTTTTAAAAGCTCACAAGAAAACTGTCTTATTTCCTAAATTACAATCCTCAGGCAATTCAAAGTTCTGAGACGTCTCTGGGATGAAGTGGGTGTGGTAGGCCACATAATGGTAAGAATCAGGACTCAGCTGCATTTAAAACATAGAAATTAGGGCCAGCTTCCTTCCTCAGGTGAGTCATGTCTTAGGTCAAAGTGGGGAAATATATGTCACAGAATCAGTCAAAGAATTAGAAAAGGCAACAAGGGCCATCAAATCCATCCTGCTTCCATGCAGGAATACACAATCTAAGCACCCACGACAGATGGCCATCCGGCCTCTATTTAAAAACCTCCAAAGGAGGAGACTCAACCATTCTCTGTGGGAGTGTGTTCCACTGCCAAACAGCTCTTACCATCAAGAAGTTCTTCCTAATGTTTATGTGGAATCTCTTTTCCTATAGCTTGAATCCACTGCTCCTAGTCTCTGGAGCAGCAGAAAACAAGCTTGATTCATCCACAGTATGACATGCCTTAAATATTTAAACAGGGCTATCATATCACCTGTTAACCTTCTCTTCTCCAGGCTAAACATACCCTAAGCCACTCCCCATAGGACATGGTTTCCAGACCTATCACCATTTTGGTTTCCCTCCTCTGAACATGCTCCAGCTTCTCAACAGACTGCTTGAATTGTGGGGCCCAAGAACTGAACACAATATCCCAGGTGATGTCTGACCAAAGGATAATACAGTGCTACTATTACTTCCAGACACTATACTCCTGCTGATGCAACCTAGCATTTTATTGGCTTTCTTA